GTCAGCAATACAGAGAGAGAGCAGGAACTGAAATCACGAGCTCTCTAACAAACCCAGGGGACCACGCATATGCCATTGATTCATTCATCCAGGATTCAAAAGAGAGGCGGTGGTCAGTAGTGTATCGCTTTGTGGAAATTCCGAGGACATTCTGGCTCTTGCCGTAGGAATGTAGAATTTCCACCGCTGCTTTGAGGCGCAAAAGGGGATGAGTGCCACCATACAACCATTGGAGGAGGAAGGTGGGAGATCCACATTTCACATTCTCGTGGCGGGGGCTGTTTCATTCAGAGGACAACCAACGGTTGGGCTTCCCGCAAAAAGGTACTCGTTTTAATGGCATTAACGGACTCATGGGCCGAGTACATCTTTGAACATGACCACAGCCCCAACATAAAAAACTGATAAACACCAGTCGTTAGTTTGACACATTCAGACACGGCGGCAGTAAACAACTCTCACGCGTTTCACGGGCATGAGAATCAGGAGGTTTTTAACATCGAGATACCTGGTGTACCGGGGCTCACACAACCATGAGTCAATCTCTCGCACTGCCCATCGTTCAGCTGGAGTTGTCTCTTCACGGTTTGGTCTTCATAGCGACTGAAATGCGACTATGACTTAAGCGAGAATCGATGCACATCCACCCCACCCGCCCCTCTCCAATCCACCCCCTTGCGATTCGATGCCACGTTTCAATGATCGAATCGATAATTATGTTCTCGTTATGTGTTTGGATGTCGTGTGGGGGACACGGCCAGGGTTGAATGTCGGGGTCATGCAAGGGACCACGCCAAGATAAATAATTAAATGAAGGCGCTGGGAAAGAAAGGTGCGAACAAGGAGATTGGGGGAGAATCCCCAAAAGATACAGAATGGCGGGAAAGAGCAGTGAACTGGTGACGATAGGTCCACTACCTCGTACAGGATGCAGCAGCTCGTGGGTTCGATCCCGACCCTGACCACCTGTTGTATATTTGGAGTTTGCGTGCCTCTCTCTCTCATCATCATCATCACGGTGGCTAGGATATGTTAACTACCTCGCCTGGTCTACAGGAGGTCGTGGGTTCGATCCCGACCCTGACGCCTGCTGCTGTATATTTGGAGTTTGCGTGTCTCTCTCTCTCATCATCATCACGGTGGCTCGGAGATGTCAACTACCTTGCCTAGTATACAGGAGGTCGTGGGTTCGATCCCGACCCTGACGCCTGCTGCTGTATATTTGGAGTTTGCGTGTTCTCCCCGTGGATTTTTCTGCGGGTCCTCCGGTTTTTCGCTCCAAATTTAGAATCAACATCACGCGTTTAGAGTGTTTTGGCGGCTATACATTTACAGGTGATCGGCCACTTCATTGAGCTATCATTTGTGGCCAAGTCGCTTCTGAAAAAATAGCAATATAGCTCAGTGGGCCTTACCTGGTAAAATAAAAAAAAGAGTTTATAGGTGAGGGACAAGGGCTCGGGGCTATGGGAAGAAAAGGCTAAAGTCACCCATAGTGTCCGTGCCCTGCACGAATCCTCGCTGTGCCTGCCCTGCCCTGCGAGTGTTCATGTTGTTGGTGTTGAACGGAAACAATCCAGCTGCCTTACCAGGACTACTCGTGTGGACTGCATTTCAAATGCATTGCCCGTCTCGTTTAAGACTGTCTCGTATGTACTGTTGCGTTTGTGTCGTCTTGTTTCATCGTTTGTACCGTCTTGTCTGTATCGTCTCTATTCCCGCTCGTTCGCCCACTCATTCGTTCCAACCGTTAGCCTGAAGGATTCTTTTCCCTATATAGTTTTCACCGAATCGAAAATAGTCAATTCTTACACCCACGATCTGGTGTGCGTATCGTGAGTATAATAACCGACTGCATTGGATGCATCAATTATACATTAATACCTGTGAGTTGACATTCAGTCTCTTCGTGGTCTCCTGCTCACCACCGCCATCAATGTTTTGGCTTCTCTGCCCACTCTCTTTCTCAGTGCGTGTGGAGTCTACGCATTGACCTGTGGTATGGACGGGAGTGAATTGATTGTGAAGAGTCTATGCACCACACGTAAGTCCGGTCCAGAGTCGAATCACGCACCTGCTCATTTCTGAGTCAAATCAAATGTTCTGTGGGGTGGATTGAGGGGACTTGAACCCAAGTGCCAAGCTTCCAAAAGACCCATTGGTTTCATGGTTCGTAGTTAGATCACGTCGGGAATTCACAGTTCGAGTTGCACCAGGCGAGAGTGGCGGTGCTAATCCGCTCAGTCACTGCTGCGTCACCATTCGGAGTGATCACCAGGGCTTTACGCAACATTTTGTGTGCGCGTGTGTGGTTATCTCTGACTGACGTGGAGTGGGGTTTCTGAGCTTGTATTGGTGCTGCAGTTGAGGTCACAAATGTCCCGCATCAGTCACCATCCAGCAAAGTTCCAAGGGGATGGCCCCGTACCGATACAGAGCGGTGCCTTCAGTTGCAGGGCAGCGCGTGCTGCAGAGGCCAAGAGTGGCCAAGAAGTCCGCGGTTGTCCGTACGTTGTTTCTGTTGGAGCGGGTGGAGCACAACCTCTTGTAAGCCTGTGTCCTGATGTTAACTTGTTGACCGAATAAACACCATCGTGACCTGCACCAAACGTTACCGACGTTGCGGCTTGTATGAGCCTGCTCGTTGCTTTATGCAAATTCAAATCGAAATCTACAGCAAATCCCAAATAACTTAAGACATTTAATAACGACCATCACATCTCGAGTCCCGCATAATGTGAAACAATCTACAAACACTACCCCCTGCTTACGAAATACACTCATTTTAAATTAAACTGTTCAAACATAAGTTGACGGTTTGGTGTGTAGACCCTAAGCATATATGTACCCAAGCATATATGTAGCACGGTTGGCTACGTACGGCGCGAAAGAAGTTCAACATACATACATACGTACCCGTACTGATCGGCACCATGTTACGGCGCCATCTTTGATGAACGTATCTTGGTTACCATTATGAATCTATGTACACATTTGTGTGTCCTTCGTCAATGCTGTACATTCCCTTTGCAATACAATTGCCAACTTAAAGGAAGACGCGACCCATTAAACTGCCAGCTGTTGTTTTACAGACAGGCCTGCACATCTAGGCTTTGCAGCCTTGGCTGCCTCGCGGTTTAACGTTCTTAATGCGAATACAAAACAAAAAAATTCACAGCCACGTGCCTTTCACGTGTCTAACGCCCTCTAGTGACGTCACAGCCGCAATCGAGCCCCTCGTCGCCTACGTCAGGATGCTCGCTGCATGCTCCACGTTCGTCTGCCGAGCCCAGCTCAAGGAGGGGAATTTGAAACCCATACTCATGGCACACGGAGATGTGTCCGGATTTGATGATTTTTTGGGGGGGTTATTTACAAAGCAGATTTCAACCACCTTATTACCACGAGTAGACATGGTTACTATAGAATAATACAATAGACATTTGGGTTGGGTCTTCCTTTAAATCAGCTATGATATATTCAGCTACATTACATCTGGGCTAATGAGCTGTGGGGGTAATGGCCTGGACTAGGCTAGACTCGCTAGCTAGATTTGAAACGCGTGAGTCACATAAATAGGCTACACATCGACACAGAGCCCAAACAGACAACGTAGGGTTGGTTATGCTAGAGGCTACGTCATTACCATCACACACAGGACCACACACACACCAAACTCTATATTTTTCTAGATCAACTAGGTTACACTATAAATCTTTTAAACATATATATTTTTTCAAGGGTTACACGTCCAATTTACAGCTTCAATACACTTGAGAAAATAATGTCGCCCAATGTCCAGGGAAGTCTCACCAAATCTCAAGACTTTTATCAGGAAGAGCTTGCATTGAGATGCTTGGCCAATTCCAATTTTAGTCTCGCAGAACGCAGTGCCATGCTTATGTGTATGAATATAGAGTAGAGCTGGCGCTATAGTTCATTTTTCAAACGGGCCAAGCCTTCCTTGAGCGAAATGAGACCTCGTTGACACCACGCCAGGTGGAGCGCGGCTCAGCTGACAAGTTAACAATAGCCCCTTAGGCCAGTATACACATCATCATCAGTAACTATCACGTATATTCCCACCACTAGCTCCTCCAGAAAATTCTGATTTCTCTCCATAGGACGATCACTGTTGACTTCCTGCAGCATAGTACGTTTTTATCGACCACAGAGGGATGATGACGGGTTGAGTCGACACTCGGCTGATATTTACACTCGTGATCTTCAGGTTGTGAGCCGAGTGCTGTGACCGCAGTGCCGCCCAGCCGCGTTGTAACTTTTAGGGCCAATGTACCAGCTACTACTATCGACGCACCTCTGCCTCACCGATCTGTCCTCCTCCTCCTTGCAACCTTGAGTTCTCACACTCCTTGCCCATTTTGCGCCTTATAACCATAAATACCAAGCCCATTCCCTCTCCATGACATTCACGGGTGACGTGTCCCAGTCACGAAGTCCCACGTTGCTGCCGAACACATCTCCTGGGTGTTGGCACTCGACAATGAGAATTAGTCGCCTTTTCATGCATGGGCTTGCCCCCTGCCTTCATCTCTTCCCCTCTCTCATTTCGCTCTGTCCTTCCAGTGCCACTGTCGTCCAGCAATTAAGGCCTCGTCTCTAGACCCTACCAGTCAACATCTGCTCAGTGGATGATGGTTGCTCCTTCGCTTCTGCTGCCCCCTTTCTCTGGAAGTCCCCTTTTGATCGTAATTCGAACTACACCCTCCACGATTCAAGTCCTGGCTCGAGAACTTCCTCTTCTGCACCTACGATTGTACCGCCTCTCCAACCAATGTCGTCCGTGCTATTCTCATTGCACCGTAGCCGTGCCCTTCTCGTGTCTGCCTCCGTGCTCCATCGCCCTCCTCCCAGTCCTCCCATTCGCCAATTCCTCCGCAGTAACGCACGGCGCTCCACGCGAATCCACGCGGTGCACCGTCGACCGCACCGTGTCGCAGTGTTACCGTGTTCTGTGTTTTAAACAGCCATCGCCGTACAGTGGCACTGAGCGGGCCTGTACCGTCCCGCTAGTGAGGGTGCCCGGCAGGTGGCCCAGGCCCGCGCCATGGATGAGGACACGGGGCGAGCCGAACATGGGCCGGTGTCCCAGGTGCACATGCGCCGAGTGCTGCGCCTGGGCGTGCGCGTGCGACACGTGCTGCTGCTGGGCGTGCGATGGCCCGGCCCGGTACAGGTACATGGCCGCGGCGGCCGCGGCTGGGTCCATGGCGGAGAGGTGCGGTGGGTAGAGCTGGAAGGCGTGGCCGCCCGCGATGGCGGCCGCCGCGGCCGCGGCCGCCGAGAGGTTCGTGGCGGCGCCGGGGTTGTTGGGGAAGAGGCGCTGAAGGGCGCCGTACGTCCCGGCCTCGGCCAGGAACTCCAAGCCCACGGCCGTCTGACGTTTCCACTTGGTCCTGAGGGGCAGCCGGCAAGGGAAGGAAAGAAGGAAGGTGGACATTTGAAACAGCGATGGTCGGTTGCGCAGCAAGGTGATTGGAACCGCGCACTCGGGATTGCGACGAGCTGTCATCGTTCAAAAATGTTGCACGCGGATGAAATACGTTCCCGAAAATCACCGAGCCGATCGATCGCTTGAGTAGTCAATTCTGTCTCGACTGCAATCAACTGGTTGTGCAACTGCTTGCAACCGGTTATGATTCATTTGCACTCAACCAATAATGATTGTGTACGAAATATTCTTATTTGTTACGTGGAGAAACAGATATGTGATGGAGACGTATCGTATGCGTATATATTTGTTACTTATATTCCCCACAACTGCGCGAATGGTGCTTTCAACTGATCGTTACGGTGTGGAAACCCCAACTTTATATGTTGGAGAACCAATCAGGTTTGAGCCCAGCACTGGCACACACCATCACCACTCCTCGCCTTTGATTTCCAACAATTACACATTCCTGCAGAGGGAGCTGGTAGGAACGTTGGGTTGCTCAGTCAATGGCCAGGGTCAACGGCAGCGTGGTGTATTCCGCAAATATGGCCGACTGTGAGGGCGGGCACAAGCCGGCGTGAGGAGGTTAAACGTTGAGTTTTATAAGGGCACCACCGGGTGACCAGCCCCTCCCCTCCCCACCCAGCCCTAGCCCTCCCACTCCCCACCCAGCCTCACCATCCCCACCCAGCCCCTCCCCACCCTCCCTTCCCCACCCAGCCCCTCCCCACCCTCCCCACCCAGCCCCATCCCTCCCATTTTTGGATGCACGACGGACGGACAGACGGACACAATAATCCCCTGTGGGCTGGTGGAACCAGGTGGTTCCTGCTTGATGACAGAGGCTTGTGTTTCCTCGGAAACGTCCTGATTTAGTTATGTTTATTTTATTTTCACCTACGTGACTTTACCGAAAGAACCAAAGAGTCTGGGTAGCCAAGATCATTCATGAAGGTCATTGGGCCAAAACTGCAAATGTCCTTGCTGTGGCAGCACCAACGTTTTGGAACAGCCTTGTATCCTCCCTTAACATCATACATTTTCCTGCAATAATATTATGAAGCAGTCGATTAGTGGCAGATAAAAGGCACCATTTGCCAATGTGATTTGTAACTTTGATCCTTCACCTTGTATCGATAGTTACATTTTAATGTGCAATATAATTGACAGACTGTGTTGTTGTCTTGGTGTGGTCTGGGACTGTTGTTGTTTTGCTGCCTTGCCCCAAGCATGCATTCTGTGTTGACAAATCGGCAGGAATGTATGTGCTTGTGCAACTTGTACTTCTAGACTTTATATTCATTTATCTTCAGTGACCTCACTTTTTCTCTATCTTGCTCTTCTTATATAGTTTATTTTGTATTCTTTGTTGATGTAACTTGCTGACCCGCCCCTACTGGACATTTGTGCAAACGAGCTTCCGAGCTCATCAGATTCCTTCTCCTCCTCCAATCTAAATGAGATTATGAAAATATGATAAATTCTGGCTTGTACCCAGATGTTAACCTTGAGTGTAGCGAGTTGATGTTCTCAGCCCCGTGGCTGCACAAATAAACATGGAACATTTTCGATTTAAAGTTTTCGTGACTGCAGGGATTCATATTCTTGGTTCTTTCGGTAATAAAATAATATAAATATAATATTAATAATATAAATATTATATTTATATTATTTTATTATTTCCCTTCTACGTTACTTTATCGAAAGCACCAAGAATATAAACATGGAACATTTGGTTTTTCGTTCATGTTGTCTTCTCGGAGTAAAAAGACAAGCAGTACTCTGATGTTGATTTACGAAAGCTCCGCTGAGTCCCAAGGCAATTTTTCAGAGGGGATGGGGGGGGGGGGCTCTGCATTGGGATGTTTGGCCAGTTCTGGAAAACAACCCAACTCGCGAATGAAAGGGATAACATTCAAAACTGCTGCACAGACCTCCTGTCCGCCTTGCCCAGACCATTGGGATTGGTGACTTTCACAGATCTCTACGTGATTCAATAGAGTGCTGCGATTCAGGGTCACAGTGAATGCGGATACAGTAGGTTCGAGTGGCTTTGCAGTGGTCACGTGAACACATTGCACACGAACTAATATGGGAAACATTGATCCGGCTGTTACAATGCCATAGTCCGGTGGTAGGGAACAGTCTGTCTATATGACGTCCACTGTTTACTCACAAAAGTGATCATCGATGTGTTGACCCTGAAGCGATGCTGGTGATAATGATTGAGTATCCCCCGATATGGTATTATAACTCATAAACCTTTCGATTGTATCGCTCTAAGCACAGTGCACCCAGACACGCACGCGCACAGCTTAGCAAATGTCAAAGTGTGAGTGCGTGTGAGACAATGTGAATGCATAGTGGGGAGCGGTAGTGCAGTGGTAAGCACACTGCGCTACGAACCCTGCCACCCAAGTTCGATTCCCGCTCACGGCAAACATCGGTGACGAATATCTGAACCCATCGTCGACCTCACCTAGGTCGACTCAGCCTGAAATGAGTACCTGATGCGTGATACTGGCCACCCAACGCCCCTCGTACGCCGTGCGAGCCTTCGTAGGTGCCCGCTAACAGCACTTGCGTCAACTGCATTTGTCGGCTACATGGGGGATATTTGTCTGCGTTTACATGTGTTGAGGAATGGAGTGCTGACGTCAGGTCACACTCGCCTCTGGGGGAATGCCGTCAAGGAAAAGTGACGTCATGCCCCCCCCCCCCCCCCCGGGGTATTTGAGGGGAGACCCGTGACGTAGACGGGGTCTTCGCCGTGAGCCAGAGGAGAGTGAGTGGTAGGGGAGTAGGGGGCTCCGGGATAGAGGGTAGAGAGCCAGGCTAAAGGGGGGGCTGCTTTACCCGGCTGGCCGAGTTGGCTGAACCCTCGGCCAGTGCTGTGGGAAGAGCCCGATAGCCTGGTGGGGTGTAGGGAACTCCCAGTACCCTTCCCCTGGGGAGATTAGTTACTAACTCTGTGTTAACCCCTTCCCCTGGGGAGATTAGTTACTAACTCTGTGTTAACCCCTTCCCCTGGGGAGATTAGTTACTAACTCTGTGTTAACCCCTTCCCCTGGGGAGATTAGTTACTAACTCTGTGTTAACCCCTTCCCCTGGGGAGATTAGTTACTAACTCTGTGTTAACCCCTTCCCCTGGGGAGATTAGTTAAGAACTCTGTGTTAACCCCTTCCCCTGGGGAGATTAGTTAAGAACTCTGTTAACCCCTTCCCCCGAGTTAGGCGCAAGCCCTTAAATAAAGAGTTGGCGTCAGCCCCTACACGACTGGCTTCAGCGTCCTTCTTACCACACAACACATGTGAGGGGCAGTGGAGTGTGTGTGTGTGTGCGTCAGGGCTGCAGATGACACGGGCAGCTCAGGTACAGGGAGCTCAGATAGGGGTGAACTCGATGGCTCGGTGTTCAGCGGCTTCACTCGACTGATGAGAAGTGCGCAAGGATTGAGGGGAGAACATTGGGTCACCGCGGACTCGGAACGCTCGGAGCTGATGAGAGTGAAACAGCGGCTGCGAACGTGCGCCGTCTCCGCTTAGAAAGTTCAGAAACACGAGCCAGTTCCCCATCTTTATATCCCCTGATTTTCATAACCGGTTCGGCTTATGGTTAACGGTGTGTGTGCGTCACAACGTGATATATCTGGCCCGCATATTGCGTCAATAAAAATACATGTTTAAAAAAAAGCGTTCAGAGGCAATAACAACGCAGAGACACTAAGCGCTATAAAACTGTGCAAGGATTATGCTAATTATTCACTCAAGAAAAGGCCCAGCCAGGGTTTTTCAACTCGGGTTCTGAATTGCAATATTTGGCCAAATTCATCAGTGAGTGTTTGGCCTCACGTGAGGGAGCAAACAGCAAACCCCGGAGAAACCTCCAGCCATGCATCAGAGGGGATGACACTCAGCGCTGGGTTCATCTGACCACATCGCAGCCCCACAGCCTACAACGACTGGCAATCCCTGTTGGTCACCCATCCCAAGCTCAAGCTTGCTGTAGGTGTGAACACGTGGAAAGGTGGCGTAGACGCTCGTTCGTCCAATGAGAGGGCAGGGTTCTGAATATGCATGAGGTCGAACCCATAGACCCCTCCCCGCCCCCATTTATTCACAACTGATTTGGGGATTATCCCCAATGAATTCACAGAGACTCCCTTCAATACCCCCCACCGCCTACCTACTACAGTTGCAATGGCACGGCCCACTGTCACACACACACGATGGATGCTCGTGTTTCGTGTGTGGAGATGTATTCGTTTGTCGTAGGTCTTGAGTCCAACGCAGGCAGACGAATTTCATCGCGAGTTCAATGCTAGAAGACAGCTGTGAAAAGTGGTTGGTGTTGAACCGAGAACTTCTTTCGCGCCGTACCTTGGCTCCTCCCACCCTCAGCCAGTATATATACAAATACGGTTTTCTTGGAATTTCTCTCACTTGATACAGCTATCGTGCTGTGACTGTTCCACCTGAAGACGGAAGCTTGTGTTGCCTCCGAAACGTCGTGATTTTATTTAATTTTTAGTTTACTTTTATGAATTTTAAGTTTTTTACCTACGTGACTTTACCGAAAAAACCTAAGAATATGAATATATATCCACATTTATTTGATATTTTTCTTCTGCAGTTTTGATTGAAAATGCAATATTTGATATCTCCAAAACCTGATGCGATAGACAAAAACTGATGCCAGATTTGGAATCAGCACCCCAAAATTACCTTAAAACCGTTGGAATACCCTATGCCAGAAAAAGTGTGTTGACCAGTGAAATCCACAGTTGTGCTGTACGATACTTCCCGCAGCTCTCTGCTCCCCCCGCGTTAACCAACCCACATTTAGCAGCGTGGTGAATAAATCCGATTCCACAACGCCGCCGCGCCAGCACGAGGAGACAAGAGGCCTTCATCCAGTAGTGGAGTGACACGGGGGTGAACATGTACACGCGTGCAACCCCCACTCGCGCTGAACAGGCCCCACCTGTGCCCAGCAGCGGCAGTAGCAACAACAGTCGCCATTCGCCACGAGACGTTCTTTAGATTGTTTCGCTGCGACACATTTCCACGTGACAAGCCAATTTGTGGCCAGGTTGCTTCGAAAAAACAAATTAATGCCTCGTTGGGCTTTACCTAATGAGATAAAACATTTTATTTAGTTGTATTTGTATATTTTTAAGCGATGCGTTTACCTTTACGATACTCCGATCGTGGTTTTGTATTGTTTATTGTTGAAACGTCCCGACCCGCTTCGACTGTATATATCTGTGTAAAGAGCTTTATAGCTCATCGGATTCCTCCAGTATAAAAATTCTGAAGTGGCGGTGACGTCACCATGGCGGGCCAGGTGCACTCCGTGGCCGCGTGTGGAAGGCTCCCTGATAGGTCACGGGACTGACCCAGCAGGTGCCATGGGTTGACTGGTTTTAGCGCCCGGCGCTCCGCTCGTTGTTGTGAGCGTCGCTCCTTTGCCCTCCGTTGTTGTTGGGAGGGCGAATGCCTCCAACTGCCCAGTAGCGTCCTTCACGAGCCTCCTCCATAGAGGAGCACACAGATAAAGTCAAAGGTCGCCCGTATAGCCTGAACAGACTGTTGGGTCAAGTGCTGTTAGCGAGCACCTATGAAGGCCGGCACGGCAAACGAGGCGATGGGTGGCCAGCACCACACCCGGCCGCCTTTGTCTCGCGGGTAGCGATGTTTACATACCACACCAGGTACTCATTTGAGGCTGAGTCGACCTAGGGGAGACTGCACCGATTCAGATCGTCGTTACTGGTGTTGATCGGGAAATAGAACTCGCGGTCGCCGGGTTCGTAGCGCAGTGCACTGCCGCACACGTGCACACACACACAAGTGCACAAAGACAAAGATCCCCCATATAGCCTTAACAGACTGTAGGGGCAAGTGCTGTTAGCGAGCACATATGAAGGCCGGAACAGTACACGAGGGGGTGGGTGGCCAGCACCACGCTCGACCGCCTTTGTCTCCCTGGTGACGATGTTTACACACCACACCAGGTACTCATTTGAGGCACACACACGTGCGCACACACGTGCACACACACGTGCACACACGTACTCACGTACTCACACACGTACACACACACGTACTCACACACGTACTCACGTACACACACACGTGCACACACACGTACACACACACGCGCTCATACACGCACTCACACACGTGCACACACACGTGCACACACGCGTGCACACACGCGCGCACACACGCGCACACACACGCGCACACACACGCGCACACACACGCACTCACACACGTACTCACACACGTGCACACACACGCGCACACACCCACGCGCGCACCCACGCGCGCACCCACGCGCACACACACGCGCGCACACACACGCGCACACACACGCACTCACACACGTACTCACACACGTGCACACACACGCGCACACACCCACGCGCGCACCCACGCGCGCACACACGCGCGCACACACACGTGCACACACACGTGCACACACACGTGCACACACACGCGCACACACACGCGCGCACACACGCGCGCACACACACGTGCACACACACGCGCGCACACACACGTGCACACACACGCGCGCACACACACGTGCACACACACGAACACACACACGTGCACACACACGTGCACACACACACGCGCGCACTGCACCCGCAGCGACGGCGCGTCACTCACCTGCGATTCTGGTACCAGGTCTTCACCTGCGTGTCGCTGAGGCTCAGCGAGCTGGCGAGCTCCATGCGGTCCTGCACGCTCAGGTACTTCTGGCGCTCGAAGGAGCGCTCCAGCTGCGTCAGCTGGTGGTCGCTGAACGCCGTGCGCGCCTTGCGGGGCTTCTTGGCGCGCGACTCGCGGGGGCTCTCGCGAGAGCTGCTTGCGCCGCTGGTGCTCGAGATCTCGCGCTCGCGCTCGGCAGCAGCAGCAGCCGCAGCTGCAGCAGCTGCCCCGGCCGGGTGGGTGAGCCGCGCCACGCCAGACACGGCGGCCAGCGAGGACGAGGAGACGTCGCGGTCGAGCGGGTGATCGAGAAGCTTGGAGGAGCCTTCACGAGGGGGCAGGGGAGTGGCGCAGGTGGGAGGGAGGGAGGAGTGAGTGAGTGAGTGAGTGAGGAAGGGAGTGAGTGAGTGAGTGAGGAGGAAGAGGAGAGGGAGGAGTGAGGATGAGGAGGAGGATGAGGAGGAGGAAGAGGGGGAGGAAGGGGAGGAGAGTGATGGGGAGGAGTGATGAGGAGAAGGAGGAAAGGGAGGAGTGAGGATGAGGAGGAGGAAGAGGAGAGGGAGGAGTGATGATTAGGAGGAGGAGGAAGAGGGGGAGGGAGGAGAGGAGAGTGATGGGGAGGAGTGAGGATGAGGAGGAGGAAGAGGAGGAGGCGCGCGCATTATTTTCGCAATAGATCAGCAGAGACAGACAAGATGAGAAGCAGCATACCTGCATTACGGACAGCGGGTGCAATCATATCTGAAAGATTACTTCGAAAAAGTCAGGGTTAGATGTATTGGACATTTGAATGCGAAAACAAGAGTCTGAATCTTAACTATGGCTCTGTTTGGGACAATTAAATGCACCACAAGAAGTCGGGGAAGACGGCGAATTACGTGACACCCTGAGCAGTTTGAACAACTGGTTGCAACTCGGAGGAGAACTAAAAATCAGAGAGTCTGAATATTTATTTATACTGGAGGAATCCAATTAACAACACAACTCTTTTTCACAGATGCCCGGTAAATGCAAAGCGCTTGAGCAAGACAGCTAAGTGGATGGAAAGCCATAAACACCGACGTCTTTGAGAAAAGACAAGGAGGCTCGCAGAGAGAGAGATCAGCAGCCAATTCTTGCCTGGTCTCTCTGCAGCATTCGGTCTCACGAATAATTACACTGGTCAACACAAAAATAAAAATGTTTCTGGCCTGGACTTTTGCAGATGTTTTAGACTAATTTCAGGGTGCTGATTCCAAATCTGATATCACATCTCATTTTATGCTATCGGAATACCCCATTTTCATTGATTTTACCCGAAATTAACTCTGTCACTTATGATTGCAAGTTGTTACGAGTCAGTGACAGCTTTAGTGTTAAAATATGGTGCTGCATTTTTAGGATAGTGTGTTTATAATATAATTTTATGTAGATATCCACATTTATTTAATATTTTTCTTCTGCAGTTTTTATTGAAAATGCAATATTTGATATCTGATGTGATAGACAAAAACTGATGCCAGATTTGGAATCAGCACCCCAAAATTACCTTACAACCGTTGGAATACCTTATGCCAGAAAAAGTGTGTTGACCAGTGTTATTCACAGTCTCCATTTCCATTATGGATCCACTACTGGATGAAGCCCCCCACCCCTCCACCTCTCCCTCTGCTCTGCAGCGGTCGGTGTGGGGGTTGCTGGACCACACCAGCGGTCAACATCGCGAGGCGCCACGGTGGCTAGGAGATGTTCACTACCTCGCCTGGTATACAGGAGGTCGTGGGTTCGGTCCCCACCCGAATGCCCTGTATATTTGGAGTTTGCGTGTCTCTCTCTCATCATCATCACGGTGGCTAGGAGATGTTCACTACCTCGCCTGGTATACAGGAGGTCGTGGGTTCGGTCCCCACCCGAATGCCCTGTATATTTGGAGTTTGCGTGTCTCTCTCTCTCTCATCATCATCACGGTGGCTAGGAGATGTTCACTACCTCGCCTGGTATACAGGAGGTTGTGGGTTCGATACCCACCTGGATGCCCTGTATATTTGGAGTTTGCGTGTCTCTCTCTCATCATCATCACGGTGGCTAGGAGATGTTCACTACCTCGCCTGGTATACAGGAGGTCGTGGGTTCGATACCCACCCGGATGCCCTGTAGATTTGGAGTTTGCGTGTCTCTCTCTCATCATCATCACGGTGGCTAGGAGATGTTCACTACCTCGCCTGGTATACAGGAGGTCGTGGGTTCGATACCCACCCGGATGCCCTGTAGATTTGGAGTTTGTGGTGTCTCTCTCTCCCCATGGTCGCGTGGATTTTTCTCCGAATCTCCAGTTTTCCCCTCCACATTTAGAAATATGCCTTTAGAGTACTTGCCTGCGTTCAATTTCCACTCAATAAGCGACTTCATTGGGCTATCATTTGTGGCCAGGTGGCTTCTGAAAAAGAGCTACGTAGCTACCTGGTAAAATAAAATAAAAAGTCTAGTTTATCACTCGCGTCGTTGCGGAGAATGCAATTAACACAATAAATAAGCAGACTGTGTCTGCTGAACTTATTTCACAACATACGTAGCCAACCGTCCTAATCGGAGGTGCAGAAGTATTCACGCCCAAAGCTGTCTCTACACACAAACAAACAAACGTGTCCTTGGTTCTTTCGGTACGTGACTTTACCGAAAGAACCAAGAATATGAATCGCTGCAGTCACGAAAGCTTTAAATCGAAACAAACGTGTGTTTACACCCGCCCGCCCGCCATTAGCTACGTCAGGAAATGCATCATTTAAGCAGCATTAGTTTTACACAAACCGTGGACCGATTCCAACATGCAGTGTCTCATCAACAGGGCCAGTGCGGGCTGTTGAAGGTGGCGCAGGAGGAGGAGGAGGAGTCACGCTCGGACCGACTCAGGTAGAACTCGCAAGTTAACCGTGACCTGCAATCGAACTCAGGTCAGCAGGGTTTCGAGTATTCGGCTGCGATAAATTTCCACACGATAAGCCACTTCGGTGAGCTATTACGTGTGTGGCCAGGTCCATTCTGAACAAGTAAACCCGTAAAAACAAAGTTTTTCACTATAAATCCTTTATATGCGTGGCATCGGGGCGGCTAGAGTCCTCTCGTCCTCTGGCTTGAGATGGCTGCCACCTATGGGTCAGATGATTGTCTGGCAGCATTAAACAATTCGTAATGAAATATTTATTTATTTTTCCCTAAACAGGGTAAAATTTTTTACAAAATTTTTCACGAAAATGCATTGTCACGCACGACGAGTCTGTGTGCAAAATGTCAGCTCCATTGGATCACGGGAAGTGGGTTAAAAAACGACCGAAAGGTTTGCACGGTCCTAAGCAAGCAAGCGAACTTAATATAAAGGATTTAAAAAGAGCTTTCTATGTATCTCGGTGTGCCTTACCTGGTAAAATAACACATTGTTTAGATCCTCACTCGCGCCGTTGTGAATAATATAATGAACAAAATGAAGCAGACGGTCCGTTTCATTCCCAGAGCTGCCAGTAATGCGGTTCGCCAACCACTGCGCCACCGCTCCCCTCCGCAGGGGAGACAAATTGAAGACGAATATTGGTTCTAGATTTGAAGCTTTCGTGACTGCAAGGAGTCATACTCTTAGGTTTGTTCGGTAAAGTCACGTAGGTAAAAATTTTTAATTAATAAAAGTGGCTGTGACGGTTCCACCTGAAGACGGAGGCTTGTGTTGCTTCCGAAACGTCGTGAATTTTTTAATTTTTTAATTTTACTTTTATTAATTTAAATGTTTTACCTACGTGACTTTACCGAAAAAACCTAAGAGTACGAATATTGGTCCCACTGAGGCTTCTTGGCAAGAGTCCTGCCTGATCCCCCACCCTCCACTCCCCATTTAGCCTTTTAGAGACCACAAATAGGAGCAGGTGCTGTAGGCGAGCACCTGTTAAGGTGCCAAGGTAACGCACGTGGGAGTCGTGCCGCCAGTCCACCTTTGTCTCCCCCACCCCGCCCCCTAGCGCTGGTGTTCCCACACTGCGACCAGCTTTTGTCAAGGCGCCCTTCCCCCCCTTCCAACCCAGCTTAAATATACGCTCCAAGCATGGTGCTGATTCATTCAGACGCTGTCTCCCCGACAGACCTGGTCTTCACCTGAGGACGGCTGCTTGCGTTGTGGCCGAAACCTCGTGATAATTATTTTATTATGTTTTATTTTATTATTTTATTATTTCCATTATACGTGACTTTACCGAAAGAGCCAAGAAGATGAATCCCTGCAGTCACGAAAGCTTTAAATCGAAAAATGCGACCAGCTTCTCATTTTAAGACTAAAGCCGACCTCGGGGAGACTCTGTGTTGCTTCCCACCACACGACATACTGATGTTACCTACCCCCATAGACCGGAGCGCGCACAGCGTGAACCCCCAGCTGTACCGTCCAGCAAAGACAAACATCCTCCGTAGAGCATTAACAGACTGTTGGGGCACGTGCTGTTATAGCGAATAGCACCTATGAAGGTCGACACAATGTACGAGGGGGTCGGTGACCAGCGCACCACGCTCGACCGCCTTTATCTCTCCGGCGGTGATGTTTACACACCGCACCAAGGACTTATTTGAGGCTGAGTCGACCTAGGGGAGGCCCAGGACCGGTTCAGATAATCTTCACTGTTGTTGGTGGCCGTAAGCGGGAATAGAACTCAGGTCGATGGGTTCGTAGCGCAGCGCACTGACCACTAGACTATAGTGCTCTCCACACACACACACAGACAAAAATCCCCCATGTAGACAAACAGGCTATTGGGGCAAGTGCTATTAGCGAGCAGCACCTATGTAGGCCGGAATGGAAACACTAAGGAGTGGTGTGGCCAGAGCCACACCCGGCCGCCTTTGTCTCCCAAGTGCGAATGCTACTCACGTTAAGGCTTGGTCGACTTCAGGGAGACCTAACTCCGGTTCAAGATAGTCATGATTGATCCCAGCATGACAGTGTGTATTTATCAAAAAGGAATCCGAGGAGTTACTGTCGGGGGAAAATGCGTTTGCTCTTTGTTCTGAGTTAGGCCTTCAAGATTCTGGCAAGCCCTTGATGTCTTTGGCCGCTCTTCTATTGGGTAAATCCCTCACAGCAACACAACTTTATATGCCAATTCAGTTGGTAATAAATTATATATCTGTGGCTGTCTTCATATGTACCGCAATGGCAGCACTCGTGCCTCGAAGCAAGAAGAGCCTGGGTTTGATTCCCGACTCAGGCACCTTTCTGTGTCGAGTTGGTATGATCTCCCCCTGTTCTGCAGAGTGAGAGAGAGTGAGTGGAGTTTGTATGATCTCCTGTTCTACAGAGTGAGAGTGAGTGAG